TAAAAAAAGATCCTTCTCGCCTAATTAATGTTTGAATGCCTTTGATATAACGATGATTTGTTTTGATTTTGCTTTCTTTTTCTGATCTGCTCATAAAATTGCAGCAAAAATCTTTTGGGATAAAAAGCTTTTTAAAATCGTCGGTGAAGTCTTTCCACGATTTCAAATTTTTGCTGTTGTTTCGGTACAAACAACGCATGGTCTCCTAGCAATTCTGGCAGCGCTCTTAGAAGTTCTTGTTTATCGATCTCGTAGGGTAGGCTTAATTTGTCTTACGTGATCATCACTTGAAAAAGGCACTTGGTCGAAAGTTTTCAGTGTTTTATTGTTAGATTTTATTTTTTTGTTATATTATTTCTGGTAGTTTTGATTTGATTTTCTCCTTTAATTAAAAATGTCTGTATTGTTTACTTTACAAATGAAACGTAATCTTCCTTACGATACGCCACTGCTTCAGTATATTAAAGTATTACGTTGCTTTGAAAATCAATATTCAAACACACTGTTCTGTTTCAGCGATTATACCATAGCTATAGCAACTTTCCAGTTCGAACAAGTCATACCTCAGTAATGCTATTCAAGTTTTAAATCAAGGCATGGGGTTTGTATTCTACGGAATCCATATAAAATTCTTAACAAAAGACTGCTTTGGTGTATCTCGCCCGTTTATATTCGCAAAGCAGCTGAGCTCTTGTTGGATTAAAAGTGTCAAAACAATTTTAATTTGTCCATTGTCCATAAATTTTATGATAATTATGTTTTTATAGGAGATACAGAGAACAGTTATTCCTTTTGCGCCACCAAAGGAAATATAAGCAAACATACCTGTTTTGAGCTTTACCGAATAGAAGTTTTTTAACTTCGTTTATTACCATATATATATATATATATATATATATATTATATATATATATATATATATTATATATATATATATATATATACAGTGTCAGAAAATGTTCACTCGGAATTTCTTAAACTTATAGACATCATAAAAACTATTCGTTAGTTTGTCTCTTGTCAATTTACTTTTACTTGGATAATAGGGAGAATGTTGTTTTGTGGAACGATACTTATTTTAGGATCCTGTAACTTTTTCAATATCAGATTTCTCACATTGAAGTGATGGTTGTCAAGGTAAGGCAGTTGAGGCTCTGGAAAGGTCGACTGGTAGTCTTCTTGGTTTAGTTGAGGAGAATTTGCATTGAGCGTTTTTCCTGGAACGATTACGAATGTAACTCACATTTGAATTTTGGAACGGCTCTTCCATTGAAGAGTTCCATCAGAATTATTAGGCAATCGCATAAAGAAACAATAGAAAATTTAAAGTAACTCTAAAGGTATATATACATATATATATATATATATATATATATATATATATATATATATATATATATATTATATATATATACACATCACTACGTACACTGTATAGTATATAGTATATATATATATACATATACAAGTAAAGTCTCTTTTTATGCGGATTATTTTTATCTGATTTAAAGATATGCAGTTTGTATTGCATCCAAAAATTTTTATTATTAACTATTATAATTAATTATTAACTATTCACATCCAGATGTCAGTAAAGTGAGCCTTTGCAATTCGGAAGTTTCGTTGTTACATAATGTCCCTATTACATCATTGCAAGTTACTCATTGAAAGGCATAACCTGTTATTGTATTAAAATAATTTTTCTCTTAGCAGTGCTTCGTTTTATAATAAGTTGCTTAAAATTTTGCTGATTTCAAGTTGCAGTAAGGCAGCACGGTTTTCGGATTGAAAGATTTCAAGTAAGTATCGTATAGTTTTCGAGAGTTCTGAGTCGACAACCACCACATATTCGTGGATTTCAAAGCCGCATACGACTCAGTCAACAGACAAAAACTTCTACAGGCTATGGTGGAATTTCAAATGCCGCTTCATCTTGTTCAACTAACGGAACTTACACTCACAGGCGTAAAGAGGACAGTCAGAATCCAAAACGACTTTTCAAGACATTTCCATTGTAAAAATGGACTGAGACAGGGAGATGGATTTCTTTTTGTTAAATTTCATTTGGCCCAATGGAGAAAAAAAACATCAAAAACAATCAATTTCGTTGGAAACGAAAATTGCAATTTTTAATTTAGACGAATCAATTGTAAGAGCAATAAAGAAGAATAGAGTTTGCTATAAGAACATCTATAGTTTCTGGTACAAAATTAAGCGGTACATTTTCATCTTACTCAAGGGATGTGTTAATAGAAAGAACAGAAAGAGCCTTCGCAATTTGGATTGAGGAACTAATTCAAAAAGGAATTCTTTCAAGTGGTTTTTTTATCCATTAATAAGTTCTTCAGTTTTATGAGTTAATGAAACAGTCAGAGCCACCAACTTCCACTCCTAAGCTGGTAAAAAATTTTCAGCGAGCAAAGGATGGCTAATCGAGTTTATAAAAAGAAACGTATTTTATAATATCAAAATCACAGGAGAGAGTGCTACAGCCGATAAAGCAGCTGCAAAAATATTTTCACAGCAGATAAAGCAGCTGCAAAAATATTTTCACAGGAGCTAGCGAAAATTATTGAAGATGAGGACTATTGTGTCGATCAAGTATTTAACGCTGATGAAACGGGACTGTATTGGAAACAATTGCCTAACCGTACTTACATCGCAAAGGATGAAAAAACTGCAAGTGGACATAAAGCAAGTAAAGATCGACTAACATTATTACCTACTTTGTAGCAATACATAGGGAGATAGATAGATGTTGAAACTACTCTTAATAAATAAATATATTAGACCACGTGTTTTCAAAAGTAAAGACAAACACCGAGCGCCACTTAGTAAAGAAAAATCTGAACTACCAACTGACATGAATAAACTTATCTGACAGGTAAAATGTAAAATATTTATTTGCCAAATAAAGTAGCAAATAAGAAATTATCTGGAGAATAAATTGTATTTTTTGTAGTTTGTTATTATGTTGTAGCTTATCGCGAAATCAAAAACATAACCTAAGTATTGTTGTTTATTATGGATGAGAGACATAAATTCGGGATTAGAAGATTTGATAAAATCAAAGAGTATGATCTTTAATCTTTATGAACTTGAGAGAATATAATCTTTGAGGCATAATAATTTTTGTATTAATAAAGAATTTTTTAAGAGGTTTAGATTAAGCAAACTGACATTAATCCATATTCTGATAATATATTGTAAACAATTGTTAATAAAAAATTATAAACGTAGGTATTTGCCTCTCTTTCTCTTCACTTATTTTAAGCATTTAATGTTTTCATAATCTTGTAATTAAAAAAATGAATTACTTAACGTTTTTCGCGAAATATTGGTGCTATTGATTAAATAGTAGGAGTACAGGATTTCAAAATGAAAAATATATAGGTATAAATAATTCTGTATTTTTGATAAGAAGTTTAAATGAAGATACTAGAAATGAGTTGTTAATTGGAGATTCTGATTATACAGTGAAGCCATTTTTAAGAGGTACTATAAACAATCCATGAAGAAAATTTCTATAATGAATTCCATATTAAAGCCAGATATGTAGCAGAACTTTTTATGTATGAAAGAGAAGGTTTAGGTACTATTTTATCTAATGGAAGTGGCTGTAAAGTTAAATTGATCCAACCATTCTAATTTTCAGCAACATTCTAGCTAGAGATCAAAATAAAGACAATTTTAAAGATGAATTGCCAAATGAATACATTATTTCACTTTCTGAAGTTGAAGATGTTTGAGCTATAACCTTATAGTCTGAGCGAAGATATAATATTTTAGTATTACGAAGAAACCTCAGAAGAATCGTTAATATACATAAATTATTTTTTTATTCGTTATTAAATTTTTCTTACAAAATTTAATTTATTCCTGCCACCACAATTATTTGCCATTTTCAACAATCACTTTCAGTATAGAAAAATTATATTTATGTCTGCACTTTTTGCTAGTTTGCGATGTAATACAAAAGTGATATTTGACCCTAAAATTACATACCGGAAGGGAACTTCCGGTATGTAATTTTATACTTACCTATACGTATATATATAGTATACTTACCTACTTATTTTGGAGACTTTCTTATCTATATTGAGTTGGTACCTTACATTTTATATTACATTATGATACAAGTAGTGATATATCAATATACATGTTAGTAGTTCGTTCTTTTGTTGTTCAATTTAGTATTTACTTTCTCGAATATAATGTTTAATATTTTAATCGAAGATTTATTAAGATAAGCACAGTCACATCTAAAGGATTAACAAATAAATAATGTCAGCGATGAAAGAATTAAATTGTCCATAAGTAATGTGTGCATGGTAAAATCTAATATTTTTAACGGTCAATTTAAAGCAGCTATAAACAGCATTAAAATAATGATAGGAAACTGCAAGTAAGTTAATTCTGTGTTTATCTGTAATTTAGTTAGTGCCTAATACGTTCAGCATGCTGCTTTTGGGCGCATTTATATTTTCTTAATCTTGTGTATATATGTGCTTTATCTGTATAAATGTGATATTTTGAAATACGATGTTACAAAGTGGCTAAAAATTTTACAGAAACTAAAACGGTTTTAAAATTTTTCTAATTTAAAGTGAAAAGTTAAAAAAAATGTAAATACACACCGAACTGACTGTCGCGTAACAATGTAACGTAACGTCGATAATGAATCTAACGGATTGTTAGTTATTTCCCTATGTCATTGCACTGCGAGATTACGCGATAGTTATCTCAAAATAAGTAAATTGGTATAAAGTAGTTTAGTTATTTGGTTTATAACGAAAAATAAAAATAGTACATACTTGTTCTGATACTTAATTTTTTTCAGTATCATTAATAAATATTTTATTTATTAAAAGTGAATTTAAATTTAACTGAATTTAAAACCGCATTCATATTATTCGTATTATTTATTCTAAAATTTTTAGCCAATGATTGTAAAATTCTGTTAAACGCGTCTATCATTACTAAATTCTTATATGATCCAGGAATGGAATGACTACAACCTACGATGGAATGAATCTGACTATGGAGGAGTTAAGGACTTGCGGATCACTCCCAACAAGCTATGGAAACCTGACGTGCTTATGTATAACAGGTAACATGTGTTATGCATTGCTATTGCATTTTTGTGCTTAATATTACAGGCTAAAAATTTGCTAAGGTGGTAAAACGTTCTTGCGAAATATTCGATATTACCAAAGCTAAAGACACAATCAATTTTTTAGACAAAACTATATGATTGCTGCGATTTCTTTGTATTTATCTATGTGGATTTGACCTCGAAAGTACTGTTGTGTACCTCTTTATTAAGTTTTTCAATTTTAGTTTTTAAACGTCGGCTTGTATTTACGTTACACAGTGTGTCCAATGAAGTCGGCATCATATGGAAAACTTTTTTATTATTAATTCTACGAAAAAAAATTTCTTTATAGAATGTTGTGCATGGTATACAACCTATGTTGCAATCATCAGATATAAAATTTGATCAATCGTATACGAGGTATGTCAAACAATATAAATTTCGCTCAATAGTAAAGTACTTTTATATTTCACAATATCGAAAGTTGTAATAAGGAAAATTTATATGTAATTAAAAATTATGGTTTAATATACAATTACATCTTTCGAATTAAAATGAAATTGCAAATTTTCCTGAAATTACTGATACCCAACATCATATTTATTTATTACAAATATGATAACTCATCCGTTCCGACAAAAAATGATTTTCATAAAACAAAATAAATTTAAATTCTAATGAAGACCAAAGAGTCAATAATCTTTTTTCTATCCGAACGGAAGAGTTATCATATTTGTAATACATAAAAATTGTTCGATATTGGCAATTTTTTTTTCAATTAGAAAGATGTTATTGCATGCTAAAACATAGATTTTAATTCCAAACAACTTTTCATAATAAACAGTTTCGATATTGTAAAATATAAAGGTACTTTATTTTTGAGTGAAATTCATACTTTTTGTCATACCTCGTATAATATTGGTAAAATTATATATCTGATGATTGCCTCTTACGTTTTAGATTATGCATAACTTTTTATAGACAATTACTTCCTTTCGTAAAATAATAATAAAAGAGTTATCATATTTGTTATACTAATAAAAATGATATTTAGTATCGGTAATTTGGGTAAATTTGCAAAAATTGTTTTTTTAATTGGAAGGCTGTAATTGCATATTAAAACATAATTTTATATTTTAAACAACTTTTCAAAATAACAATTTTCGATATTGTGAAATTTAAACGTACTTTACTCCTAACGGAAATTCATAATTTTTAACATACCTCGTATAAGATTTATCAAATTTGATATCTGCCAATTGCATCTTACGTTTTAGCCCATGCGCAACTTTTTATAAAGAATAACTTTAAATAATAATAAAAATTAGTAATCATTCCATCAAGTTCTACTTGGTATTTTGATCCCATACTATATTATGTACAGACTAACATCAGTTTAATTGATTTCGTTCTTAATATTTTTTACTGGTCTATTCGGTGTATATAAACTTATCCAAATCCGTATAAGCTTTTTTTCGATCCATAATAAAGCAAGCTATAAATAAACTGTAAAACAAAATTGTGTTAGATATTTGGCCCCTATCGGTCACTACTTTGGAACCTTAATTTTAACCCACTAGCCTAGAGTCCGAACTATACCAGTACTAGCATCAAAAACATGAATATTCATGGAGACTTCGGTCACCATAACAACTACCGGCCGCAGATTAGTCTAGATCTGTTTGGATTGGACATTTTCCATAGGAAGCTATTTTTTGCTGGAATCCCTTGCAGGATGTGCCCAATATCGATAATCACGATATGCGCCAGTCGCAAAGCCTGTGCTAATTTTTTTATTTAACAAAATAACAATTGAAAATTTCTCATTTTTTTGCTCCTATTTTCGTTTATAATTCGGAAAATATTGATCCTAGAGAAAAAATTATACGAAGTTAAAAGTTACATAATTAAATTTTACACAATATTTCGTTAGCTATAAATTGAAAATTTAATGTTTATTGTTGAAAAAATAGCAATAATTGGAAAAAAAAGTACAAAAAAATGAAGTTAATCCTTTAAATGTTTTTGACTCTCTAAACTTGACTTACGAGCTTCATATTCCGCCTAGAGAAACTTTTTAATATGTTTAAAATGTGTGCTAAATTTTGTTAAGATCGGTCGGATAGGTTTTGCATAATAATTGTGGCATCCAGCCTACTGGAAAGAAATCGCAAATTTTCAAATTTATAGTAGGCCCTAAATAAGGCCCTCAGATAGTTGCAATTTTTACGTAAAGGAGCTCAACTTCAAACCTTTTGTAAAATTCAAATTGGTTCACTAGGAGAGCCTAGAAATTTTTTTAAAGTTTTAAACATTTTTTAGACTTAACAAATTGAATAACTTTACGAGCTTTAAACATATCATTTTCGAATCAAAATATATTCTCAAATCAAATAATGTCATTATTTTAAAAAGTTTGATTTTTACAAAAAAAATTCGTTCGCTTTTGTTTTAACAATTCAAATTATTTATTAACAATTTATAAATACATATTTGTTTACTAAAAGTAACAATATATAATAACAGTAATAAGTTGAATTGTTAAAACAAAGACGAAGAAATTTTTTTTTTTTTGTAAAAATCAAACTTTTTAAACTAATTAATTTCTGCAGTTTCCTCATAATAATGACATTATTTGATTTGAGAATATATTTTGATTTGAAAATGATATGTTTAAAGCTCGTAAAGTTATTCAATTTGTTTATAAGCCTAAAAAATGTTTAAAACTTTAAAAAAATTTTCTAGGCTCTCCTAGTGAACCGATTTGAATTTTACAAAAAGCGTTTGGAAGTTTGAGCCTTCCTTTATATGTAAAAAAAATTGCAACTATCTGAGGGCCTTATTTAAGGCCTACTATAAATTTGAAAATTTGCGATTTTTTTCCAGTAGGCTGGATTGCACAATTATAATGCGAAACCTATCCGACCAAGTTTAAAAAGTCGAAAACATTTAGAGGATTAACTTTAGAATTTAATTTGTTTGTACTTTTTTTCCAATTATTGCTATTTTTTAACAATAAACATTAAATTTTAAATTTCTAGCTAACGACATATTGTGTAAAATTGAATAACGAAACTTTTAACTTCTTATAATTTTTTCTCTAGGATCAATATTTTCCGAATTATAAACGAAAATAGGAGCAAAAAAATGAGAAATTTTCAATTGTTTCCAGATTTTGTTTAATAAAAAATTTAGCACAGGGTTTGCGACTGGCGCATATCGTGATTATCGATATTGGGCGCATCCTGAAGGGATTCCAGCAAAAAAATAGCTTTCTATGGAAAATGTCCATTATGGTCTGAATTTTTACAGATCCCGCCTAGTCTAGATCATTTTCAAAAGAAACCAGGAGTCTTCGTCGAGCACTGCGTGACTTTGCAGTCCTCAAGGAAGGTTCCTTGTTTTTTCGGAAAATAAGCTGTGATCGGTGGCGTAATGGTGGCCAAAATGAGCAGCTACTACTGCATATTTGGGTCACAGATGTGGCTTAAATGGTGGGTTAAAATTCGGACTCCAAGATAGTGACCGATAACGGCCAAATCACTAACACAATTTTATTTTATAATTTATTTACTGAGGGCTCTATTATAGATATTACCATACAAAGGTTATAGGGATCTGTATGAGTTTATATAGTAACACCGAATCGGCTACAAAAAAGTATCTACGAAGGGAATTAATTAAACTGATGATAGTTTCGTCGCTTGTTAACAATACAGCGTGGAGCCAAAATACCAAGCGGAGCTTTATTTTTTGTGAATAGCAGTTTATCTGTTTTTATACCTTTCGTTATTTTATTAGATAAAAATTATATTTTATAAAATATACTGTAATTTATAATTCCACGCATTTTGCGAAACATCTAGTTATTAGACGCGAATATAAGTCAAAGTATTATTTTCTTAACAGTATAAGTTTTATTATAAAAATAGAGTTGAGAATTCTACATTGGATTCTAAGTCTATAGAAATATGTTATAAATTGTTTATAAAAGCCTCTTCAAATTATATTCAAACTAAATATATATCAAGGCGTAAAGAGATTTCACTCATCTGTCGGCAGGAGTCACATTGAACGTGACTTTAAAAATGTTTTGAAAGTGCAATTCACGCGCGTTAATGACCAAAGATGAAAACTATTCGTAAGAACGTTTTACTGTCTATTTCGTGGGCCAGTCTATGGGTGACAATCGTTTATTTGTCGCTACGTTGTCCCCAGATGTATTAGAGGTAGTGAATCTAGGTCAATGTAGGTATCTCCGAGATCGATTTTTTCGGTTTACAAACAAGATCCAAGGGGAGATAATATGCCTACATAAAAGGTATTTTGGCTATAGATCACCTTAGGTTGGCCTATTCTTATAGCATGATTAATTTACATTGAATCATCTAACGAATAAATTACTATACTTAATGAAGAAGAACCGAGTTTTTATCGGCAAATATTGCTTTTTATGCTAAATATGAGACGATGAGAGACTGAGATATATACATGCATTGGTTTGATGGAAAATATCCCACAAACTGTGGAAAATTCTACAGTTTATCTCTAGCTTTATAAGCTTTATGTTACTGATTATAAGCTTTATATCAGTAACACGTTTATATGAATGTTTCTGATATAACTACAAATAGATTAGAATTCTTCATATCATATACCATCATATAAAAAAATTCTTCCAAGTTTTTGGTTCATAAGCGGTTTAGAGAAAAATGTAGTAAGCAAGTAATAATATTGTAAGAATTAATTTAAAATAAGAAACTCCTTAGTAAATTTAACGTTATTATCTCATATTCACAGCATTAAATACAGTAGATAGACATATTAAAAACAACAAATCTGGTTTGGATAATAACTTTTAAAAGTAGAATTTACTTTTTCTTGGTGTATTATTCCATTCATAACAAAGATAATTATTGCATTTATTTAAAGTTAACTATTGTTTATAATTTTGGCATACCCCACCTGAGTTGAGTATATTAAAAGTATATTTATTATGAGTCATTAACAGTTTT